CGCACAGGGGGGCAGGGGAAGGAGGGAGGTTTTCTTAGAAGGAGGCTGCTTCTTAGAAGGCGCCAGCTCTACATCTGTAGACATGGCCCGCGCCTTCCAACAAGCAGGGGTGCTTCTAAGAAGCCTGCCCCCTCCCCCTACCCCCCTCTGCGCGTGGCCGATGTCACTGGGGAAGGTGCCCATTCCTCCGACCCCTCGAAGGCAAGCCCCCCCTCTGGAACGCCCCAGCGTAGAGTGTGGGGGTTGAGATGTAGGCGCCAGAGTGGGGGGGAGAAAAGGAGAGCATCTGGGACGGCCCGGAGATCGGACGTAGCGGACAAACAACAACAAGAACAAGAACAAGAACAACAACAACAACAACAACAACAACAAGAAGAACAACAACAACAACAACAACATCAACGACAACAACAACAACGACAACGACAACAACAACAACAACAACAACAACAACGACAACAACAACAACGACAACAACAACAACAACAGCAACAACAGCAACAGCAACAACAACAACAACAACACCAACAACAACAGCAACACCAACAGCAGCAACAACAACAACAACGACAACGACAACGACAACGACAGCAACAACAACAAAGACAATCATTTTACCCTCATGCGCGATGCTTCCACACGAAGCATGCGACCACCATGATAACCATCCACATCATGGGGGACTCTTGTTCTATAGCGGGGTCCGTTATTCCCACTCCCAGATCTCCCGCCCAATGAGGTCTTGCAAACACCTCCTCCGAGGAATTTCAACATATCCCGCCTCGAAAACACATGCCAGCGCCTTGCTGCGCCGATGCGAGACCGCTGAATAGAAAGGGAGGAAGTCTCGAGCAGGGCTGCTGCTGTTGCTGAGAGCGGCGCGAATGCTGAAGCGAGTGGGGCGCTAGTCCAGCGTAAAACAAAACGAAGTCTCGAGCGGGAATGGTTTTGCTGGACGGCGGCTTTCGGAGGCGAGGAGGAGCACCGCCTTGAGTAAGAAAGAAGCATCGAGCGGGAGCCGTGGTTTTGTCGGGACGGGGGCTGTCGGCGGCGGCGAGGAACAGCACCGTCCCGAGGAACAAGGAGGAAATCTCGAGCGGGAGCGTTGTTCTTGTTGGGAGCGGCGCCAATTCAAAAGACAGCAAGGCGCCAGTCCAGCGTAAAACGGAAGGAAGTCTTGGGCGGGAGCGCTGGTTTTGTCGGGGCGGCGGTTTTCGGCTGCGAGGGGGAACGCCGCCTTGGGTAAGAACGGAGGAAGCCTCGAGCGGGAGTCGTGGTTTTGTCGGGACGGGGGCTGTCGGCGGCGAGGAACAGCACCGTCTTCAGGAAAAAGGGAGGAAGCCTCGAGCAGGAGCGTTGTTCTTGCTGGGAGCGGCGCCAGTCCAGCGTAAAACGGAAGGAAGTCTCGGGCGGGAGCGCTGGTTTTGTCGGGGCGGCGGTTTTCGGCGGCGAGGAGGAGCACCGCCTTGAGTAAAAAAAGGGAGGAAGCCTCGAGCGGGAGCATTGTTTTTGCTGGGGGCGGCGCCGATGAAAGAAAGACTTGCGCGCCAGTCCAAGGTACAACGGGAGGAAGTCTCGAGCGGGAGCGCTGGTTTTGTTAGGGCGGCGGCTTTCGGCGGCGAGCAAAAACACCAGCCCTGAGTAAAAAAGGAAAAAGTCTCGAGCGGGAGCGTTGTTATTGTTGTTGTTGTTGTTGTTGTTGTTGTTGTTGTTGTTGTTGTTGTTGTTGTTGTTGAACATTATTACTTCTAAAGAATAATTATTGTTGGGGCCCCTGGTGCGCGACCCCCCCGCCGCGCCTAGGCCGCAGCCTCATTTTCATCATTTTCGTGAGGAAGTCTCAGGCAAAACGGGTTGGTCCGGATCCGGTTGTGTTGTTACGATCGGTTTTCCCTTGCAAAAAATATGCTAAAGTGGACATTTCTTGTTCTAACATAACCAAACTTCAAGAATCCCTTGCAAAAAATAAGGTAAAGTGGACATTCGCGCGCGCAAGACGAAATCCTTCCAAAACCTTAGTTTTCGTAGCGATTTTAATATAAAAACATCAAAAAACCAATGGTTTTTCAACAAAAAAATGTCAAAATCTCATCCCGCGCGCTCTTGCGGATTCGTAGGAAACCCAACACTTTTTAAACATTTCTGTCAAACGGGCTTTTGCGAGCAACTTTTTCGAACTTCTGCAACAACGGTTGCGCACCTGCCAGGGCCATCATCCCTGTCAAATAATACCATGCGGGACACATTCGTTTTTTCTTCGCGCGCGCACGCCGTCGTCGTCGGCCGCGGGGCCCTGAATAGTAGCCACGGTCGTCCGCATGCCACGAAGTGAAGTGTCCGAACGTCATAGGGCGGGAAGCTGGGTGTGGGTGGTGGCGAAGAGTCGTTTGGAAATTTGGTAGAGCTTGAACCGGCCCCCCCACAAAGTGGGGGTATTGCCCGCCTCCTATGAAAACCCTGGCACTGGTGAGAACGGTGTGTCCCCACGTGCTAGTAATTATTGTTGTTATTGTTGTTATTGTTGTTGTTGTTGTTGTTGTTGGGGGACTGGCTTTGGCGGCCCCCCAAGCCGCTCGAGCGTGAGCCTCAGATTCAATGAAAATGTAGCCGGCGACTCATTCAAATCCTCAGATTCAATGAAAAGCGAGAGCGCCAGGACGCCTTTAGGGGGTCCAACAATAACAAGTGGCTGGCTCTTGCACATATGAGGAGAGAAGGAGGAGGAGGAGACGCAGGTGGGGGGATCGAGGAAACAAGGAGGAGGAGGAGGAGGAGGAGGAGGAGGAGGAGGAGAAGGGGCAGGTGGGGCCAGGGCGCCCCGGTGCTGAATCAGCGGCTGTCGATTGGGACCTGCTCGAATGAGTTTTTGTTAGCAGCTGAGGCGCGATAGATTTTCGAGGCTGGGCCAAGTGGGGAGGCTGAGTCCAGGGACAGGGCCAGCGGGGCGAGGGGGGCTGGGGCAACGACCAGGGAAGTAGGCTGGGTCCAGTGCCAGGACCAGGGGGGCGAGGGCGGCTGGGGCCAGGTCAGGGAGGGAGGCTGGCTCCAGGGCCAGGACCAGGGGGACGACGACGAACGAGAATAAAGGGTCCGGCGCGAGAGGGGCTGGATCCAGGGCCAAGGCCACCAAGGGTACGACGACGAGCAAAAATGAAGGGTCCAGGGAGAGGGGGGCTGGGGCCAGGGCCAGGGGAGGACGCTGGGTCCAAGGAGAGGACCAGGGTGGCGACGACGAGGGGGTCTGGGTCAAGGACCAGGGTGAAGGCTGGGTCGAGGGCCAGAACCAGGGGGACGACGACAATCGAAAATAAAGGGTTCGGCGCGGGGGGCTGGGGCCAGTGGCAGGTGAGGAGGCTGGGTCCGCGGCCAGGTGGCGTGCCGAAATAAAGCGGTCGGGGCGGAGGGGGCGCGTTGGCTGATGGGGCCAGCGCCGTGCCAAAGTCAAGCTGTCGGGGCGGAGAGGGTGCGCTGGCTGGTGGGAGCGGCGCCGAGGGGGCGCTCTGGCTGGTGGGTTAGCTGCGCTGGCTGGTGCACCAGCCATGGTGGGGGAAGGATGCGGTGGGCCGGGGGGCTGCTTCGGCATGGCTGCTTTACAAAGTGGATGCGGAGGGGACACGATGTGAGGCGCGGGCCGAGGGGCTGCATCGACCGGTGCCGTGCCGAAATAAACTCGTCGGAGCTCTTAGACACCCTGTGCAAGATAATAAAATGCTCGGAGCGGAGGCAGCACGGGGCGCAGGTCCCACTGGGGCGCTGGGGGCGCGGAGAGGAAGGGGTGGGAGGTGGTGTGCGTCGCGACGCGGAAAAAAGTGATCGGGGCGGAGAGGCACGGGGCGGGGGTCCCACTAGGGCGCTGGGGCGCGGGGGCGCGGGGAGGAAGGGGGGAGGTGGTGTGCGTCGCGACGCGGAATAAAATGCTCGGGGCGGAGGTGGCACGGGGCGGAGATCCCACTGGGTCGCTGGGGACGCGGGGGGGCTCGGGGCAGAAGGTCATGGGGCGGGGGTTCCACTGGGGCGCTGGGGACGCGGCGGGGGGGGGAGCTGGTGTGCGTCGCGACGCGGAATAAAGTTGCCGGAGCGGAAGGGGCAGTGGGCAGGGTTCGGGCCGACCCGGGCGCTGGGGACGCGCGGGGGGGAGGTGGGGGACGTGGCGTGCGTCGCGACGCGGAATAAAAGGTTCGTGGGGGAGGTGGCTGTGGGCGGTGCTGGGGACGCGGGGAGGTGGGGGAGGTGGTGTGCGTCGCGACGCGGAATAAAGCGTTCGTGGCGGAGGGGGCAGTGGGCGGGGCTCCCTCTGGGGCGCTGGGGACGCGGGGGGCTCGGGGCAGAGAGCCACGGGCGGGGGTCCCACTCTGGCGCTGGGGACGCGGGAGGGGAGTCGGGGGGGTCCCACTGGGGCGCTGGGGACGTGGGGGGGGGGGGGGCGTGCGTCGCGACGCGGAATAAGCTGTCGGGGCGGAGGGGGCACGGGGCGGAGATCCCACTGGGGCGCTGAG